AGTTTTTGGGTTTAAAAGTGACACAGCAGTCTTGACTTTTACTTTTCGCTTTCTCTCCTCCCTTCTTTTTTTGCTTTTCTTGCCTCATTTTTTTTTTCTCTTGCTGGGCATTTAGTAGGCTTGATTTTGGTGGGAAGAGTTTTTAGGAAAGCTTTTAGGATCTTAGGATTAGGCGAAAGGAAAGGTAGGTGGGTAATGGGACAAGATTTTCATGGAGATTTTCAGGTCAATGTCACGTGGTTTTTTGCTTGTTTCTCCGGTGTCCTTGACTGAATTGTGCTCATTCTGGTATGGTTTGAAAGATCTCTTCACTCTGCACAAGTTAGTGAAGAAAGTTGTCCTTGACCGTTAAAACTGATGACGTCACAATGGGTAGAAAGGACCTGGATCTGCACGGGCGGTTACGGGCGGTTCAGGGGCGAATGGGTTAATTTTGCCAATTACTCGCCCTCAATCGCTATGGAACTTAAAGTAAGCAAAGAAATTACATGTAAATGATAAAATCAGAGATCCGAGACAAACAAATATGTCTCCTGAGCATTGTTTTTGAAATTGCAAGCAGCAGGGATCAACTTTGAAAAACTGTTAGGCTGAACAGTTTTCAAAAACCCTAATTTCAATCCGTTTCAATCTTCTTCAGTTTTGCCCATCCGTGGCATCTGTTGTTTCTGTTATGTTATTTTAACCTTCCTTTAAAGTTTTAAGCGGTTATTTTTATGTTTCTCTTAATTTAACGGGCATTTTGTAATTTCCTAATTTGGCTGAATTTCGTGACACAGCTCCTTTAAACCAATATCATGTCCCTGTCCCTACGTAACCGCTCCCTGCAGGGATGGTTAGAAGAGAAGCCTGGGAATAAGGTTGACAAGGGTTTGTATGGGAAAGCACTCAACCATGACTGGGTGACAAGTGTTGTTATTCTCGAACAAATCTTTTTAATTGTTGGGAGATGTTGCAATCAAAATTTTTGTAACATACCGTTCAAAATTCAAAAGTAACATAGGTAGTTTTAATATGCCTAATTTTTCAGATCCTTGATCCCAATTAATAGTCGTCAGTGTAATTTTAATAGTATTAATTTTTTGTAAGTTCATGTTAGCTCAGGGAAGGGGTAAGTGGGCAGTTTTCCAGAAACCTAAATTGACCTACAATTGATCCGCCATTATTATTTGCTCGTCAAAACACTCCATTATTTTGTGCCCTACCCTTTCAGTTTTAGACCATAGTATCGCAAGATTAACCCTTTAAGCCCCAATATCCACATACAAATTCTCCAAACTGATCTCCATACATTTCCTTCATGAATAAGTTGAGAGAATTTGATAAAAGATCAAAGCATTTTCTCTTAGGTGATCATTTTCTTAATTCTCATAACCTAATCTCTTGACATTGTATGAATATTGTTAGGAGAAAATTGATGTTGGTCACTATTGGGACTTAAAGGGTTAAAGGCATTCTCCATTTGCCAAAAGCATTTGCGAAATTTCAAGGAGAGGTCTATCGGGTAAAAAATATGTTCAAACGGACACAAGTTTCATTCATTCTCTTTTCTTACCAAACTTCAAGATGATGGCACAGCTGTTCTTAGTGACTAGCCTGGAACTATTGACCTGGTGAAAATTCTTAAATATAACACACATTTCTATCAGAGAGTTTCCATTGGTTTCCCAGGGATTTTCCATTGGACTGCCTGAAAGACCTGCATTCCAATTTATTATAGTCCATACATTGTCAAGAGATTAGGTTATGAGAATTAAGAAAATGGTCAGCCAACAGAAAATGCTTTGATCTTTTATCAAATTCTCTTAACTCGTTCTTTAAGGAAGTATATAGAGATCAGTTTGGAGAATTTGTATGTGTATATTGGGGCTTAAACTGTTAAAAGGGACATCAAGGGGGTCATAGAAAGTGTCCTTATGACTGGGGTGACCGCATTCCCCACTCCATGAACTATAGGGAGACTGGGTATAAGCTTTTGATGCAATGAGTTCTGGGATTGTTTGGGTGGGATGTGTTGTTTAATGATTGCCTTGAATATCATCCACCTAGCCTCGTTCCCAGTCGTCCTCGGCAATTTCGGATCTGACATCACCTGTTACGTTTGTCAGGAAAATTCGCCAAGGAACTCACATAGCGTGAACTGGCCTGGGTACTAGGATGTCATCCACCAATCATAAGTAATGCTTGTCCACCCAAATGATCCCAGAAGTCGTAGCACCAAAAGCTTGCACCCATTCTCCTTTTAGTTTTTTCTGGAGTGGAAAATTGAGTGGTTGAATTAACCCTTTAGGTCCCTATGGTGACCAACATCAGATTTCTCCTAACAATATCCTAATATTGTCAAGAGAAGTGGTTGCAAGAATTAATCAAAAGATCACCAAAGAGAAAACGCTTTGATCTTTTATTAAACTCTCTCAACTTATCCCAAGGGAAATGTATGAATATCAGTGTGGAGAATTTGTATGTGGATATTGGGGGCTTAAAGGGTTAACAGAAAATACGAGGGCTTTCTTTCCCCAGGGACAAGCGAAATTGTTTATAATATATATTGAGGTGTGCGTATTAAGCGGGTGTCTGAAAAGCGAGTTTCAACTGTACAGCCCAGCTGTTTGAAGAATTTCAGATTGTACAAGGCTGTGGTTGAAAAGACGTTGTTGCTATGACAACCCCAGGTTCGTAGGCAGCTTGATTTGAAATGACATTCAGCCCCTAATCTATTACCTTTAGAGTATTTTCTAGTATCCATAAAGAAGATTGTAAAAAAATACCGTCTGCTGTCCACCTAACAAGGATGTCTTCCTCATACAGATAGTTTATTTACAGAGAAACATGGAAAATACAGTCGAGACCAGCCTGGTATATCCAACAAGGCAATTTTTCTGTTTTCATAAAAAACCTCGATAAGTAATTTAGTCGGGAACAAATGTCCAGATTGTGCTTCAGTCGAAATTCTCACATCGCCAGGGGGCGACCGCCATTGCTTGAGAGAACCTGCGATTGAATCGAATTTGAATTTATTAAATAATTAAGCACTTTCACAAGTAAGATCGATCCGAAAAAATGAAATTTTGGAGGTTATAATTGCGAATATTAAATAATTAAACTACAAAACTGTATTTTTTGTCTACACCAGAGAAATTACGCTGAAGTTTCCTCTTTGAAGAGAGTTATGGTCGCTTCGAAAAGAGATGCCATATCGATCACAAAAAATGGAACACTTGCCGAGAAGCTTGCCGAGTAATTCTGAAGATCTCAATCTAGGTTTTGACAAATTCAGCTTTGGATTAGATTATAAAATTAGTCTACCCCACTTGAATTTCTTTCGCTAACAGAAAATCTTCCTTGACGTTATCTATTCTTATTTACAAAATATTTTCAAACTACAACAACATGTCTATTGAGGAAAATCAGAAGAAATGTATTGAGCTAACAACTAAATAAAATATGATGTCATCAATTTTTGATTGGCAAATATTGTCGCGAACAATGATTTCCAAACTAAAATCAGAGCCTACTCAAACGGAGACGAACAAAGATATTATTATACTGCCAAGAATAAAAAACGTAAACATTGATATGTGAGTATCTTCGAGTGAACTACAGGCCGCGTCGAAGAGACATTTTTCGCTCGCGAAAACTTTGACGCTTTGCGAGGTTTTCAACTCGCCTATTAATTCATGACGTCACATCGCTTAATTTTATTTTCGTGGTAAAATAGGTTAAGACGCATAGAATGAAGAAAATAGATTTTACAGGAATGTGATTATCATTTCGTTTAAAATAATATGTTTTGCTTCAATCTTTCCTTGGTAACTCGCTCGTAATTTATTCAAATATGCTGGACAACTTCTTCAAAGGAGATATCCCAAGTATCTTCGAGACAACGATAAAACGCGAGAAAGGGAAATCCGCCGATAATTCAACAACATCGAAGCTGAAAGATTACAGAAACGAAGAAGAATTCTTGAAGAGTGTCACGGCTACAATATGCTATTGCGGCTCGTTTTGGACCTTTGGAATGGCGGCTGCTGTTATTGGGCCGACGTTGCTGGAACTAGGTTGTGTAACGAACCGCCCGGTTAATGTGATGAGTTGGGTCTTTTTATCGCAAGCACTAAGCGCCTTGTTTGGATCAAGTTTAGGAGGATTTTTGGCAGACAGGTAAAGATTTAAATTCATTTTATAATTTTCGAATGTAAATTAAATATGATAAAGTCCTCAATAAGAAAAATTCCAAGCGATTTAACTGTGAAATCGCAAAAGATATTTTGCATGCTTAGAATACAAAAATAATACACACCATAGGAAAAACTTCCCGACGAGCTCTTTTACGAAGCTCACGTTAGGCATTTATTTTATTATGCCAATACAAAGCTCAAAGACAGATAAACGCAATGGAGCTGATAAAAGTTAACTGAGAAAGGCAATTTCTTAAACTAAGGCCCCATGAAGGGTATTTTAAACAGGAAAGGGGAGGTCCCATGATACACAGTCTTCTACTGTATGCTACATGAGGAGCAATGGGGGATGCCCTGTGAATTCCGCCAGGTAAGCAGGTTTATTTAACAACAGCATAAAAATCATGTTGAAGAGATTTTAATTTTAGGCGTTAATCTATTAATAAAACACCCTTAAAATAGAACTCAAGTCTATCTCAGGGAATCGACGCAACGTTCTCTGCGAGTTTTGCCAGCGATCTTGGAGCTGGCGAATCGATAACCTGTGAACAGTAGTATACCGATAACCTGTGATAACAGTAGTATACCAAAGAACATTTCGTATAGAATGTAAAACCCTCAATCAAAAAGCATTGATATTAATTCTCTTCTCATATAAATACGAAGATGATAGATATTAATCTTGAACAATATAATCTCAACAGCATCTTAATTTTTCCTCGCCTTTCTTTCTAAAGTTACATTGTTGTATTAGTTTGCTGTATCCCTTTCTATATCGTTGCGCGTGATGATTACAATAAAGGATGAACAATCGATTGTTAGTTACTGATGATATCACAATCTCTGCATACGCGAATACGACATACGTTTTCACAATCTCTGCATACACGAATACTAAATAAGTTTTGTCTACACTTCTGAGCTAAAATTGGTACTTTTTAATCGCGACCCCCTGAAAAAGTCTTTAAGCAATAAGTGCTTAAATCAGAAAAGATTTGTTTCGTTGTGTGTAAAAACTGTAGTTTTTCTTGAGCGTTTCTTCCGAAAATTTCCCTCATAAACTAACTATATCGTAACCAGATCTCCCTCGCGTTTTTCGTTTGAAATCTGCTGGACCAGTTGGCTAAATTTGTTTATGTAAAGATGTTTAGGTACTGTAATACTTCGTGAAAGTAGAAACTCAGAAGAATCGATAGTTTCTTAGTTTGATTTTTGGTGACGTCACGTGAAACCCAAGAATAGACAGAAGACGTCATTGCCACGTTGCCATGGTAGCAAAATTTCTGGATGTCAACAAACCGTGGTGTTGCAAATATGGCAGAAAAAAAAAATTGACGTGTATGACTTTCCTATGCGTGATTGCACTCAGGAACAAAATGGTGGCCAGGGGCGGATCTAGGGGGAGGGTGCAGGGGGTGCGCCCCCCCCCTTAAGATGACCTGCGGTTTACTAATACAACTGGTATTCTGCCAAAAAAAAACTATGTGGTTTATTGGTGTTGAAGTAGAGCAAGAGGCGAGTGCACCCCCTCCTGAAAAAAATCCTGGATCCGCCCCTGGTGGCCCATACTTTTCTTCCATCGTTAGACTAGAAAGCAAATGGTATTACTACCATGCTACCGTGGTAACGTGACCCCACTCACCTCATTTTATACTCTTTTCAGGTACGATTGTAACGTCATCCTGTTGTATTGCGTGACTTCCGTAGCAGTATACCTAGCTATCATTCCAGTGTGTCACGTATTTGGCATAATGCTGGCGTTTTTTGCCCTGTTGGGAGTTCACATGGGAATAATTGACACAGTAGCAAACAGTATCCTCATCAAAATTCACGGGAAAAAGGTGCGTGTATTATGGAGCGTATTCACTCACGTGGCCAGCATCTATGCAAATTTATGGGAACAAAAGAAATGTTTTACATAAGAAAAGAGTCCAACCCCCACAGGATTTGATTGGAACACCAACATGGCCGCCTTTTCATTGTTTTGGAAAACCAATATGGCCGCCGTGACGTCATGTGAATACGCTCAATATGTAGATTAGCAAAAGAACGCAAAAGCGCGCGGAAAGGGCTGAAAGCGACTCCATTGCTCCAGTCGGTTTGCACAATCTGACCGCGCCATTAAGGAGCTTAAGCAACGGCGACGGCGACGAGAACGGCAAAAAAGCGATAGGTTTACATAAGCAAAACAACAACATCTGCACGTGCATCACGCTTTTTTGTGCATTTCTTTTCTGTTACTACACGACTACAACGTGAAAATGCCTAATTTCACGTTTTGAAGAGGACGTGAAAACACAAGACAACGACTTTCTTACTCTTTTCTTGAACTTCGATGCAGTCTTTTAGAATTCAAATCTAGAAAAAATTGCCAACATTTGACGAATTGAACAAGATGGAACAAGTGCTATAAAGTTTGCAGCAGCGCGACGTCACTTTTTGAGAGACGTTTCCTTAGCCGTCGCTGTTGTTGCTGCGTAAGAGTCTCTATTATTATCAGCGCGTCCTCTCGGAAGTCACGTGACTTGACGGTACGCGTAAGCGTTCTCCTGTACAGACTCATTGCTTTGGGGGACGACGGGCGAGAGTCGACCTTGCAAAGGAGGAGTTTTCTTTTTTCTTTTTTTTTGCAAAAATCAAACATAGTATTTCATCATATATCATATTGAACACGAAGAAAGTTGAAAAATTGTCTCGTGAAAATGCATAAAGAATTTGATTTAACTTCTCAAACAATCTAAAAACGTCACATAGCGTTATTTGCTTTGAGAAATATATTACCTGTAGTGAAAATTGTTTTATTTTTTACTTTTTACGTTAATATTGCCATTTTGAATTTTTATAGGTGGCACCAAGATTACAGGTAAGTGATACTCTGTTACTCTGAATCCTTGGAAAACACGAAGAGTGTTTCGTTACATCTGTTCCATAAAAAAGAACAGAAATAAAAACGCATTTAACACTAATTAAAATTTGATTCTTTTGTACTTTCTTTCTGGAATGAATCAGATGAATCAGGAAAGACACTTTTTCTCGTGTTTGATCCGATATCCAAACGCCGTCAAGTCACATATTAAACACGAGAAAAAGTGTCTTATCTGATATCAAAACACCGAGAAGTAATATACGAGAATTGAAGGAGTGTTTCATCTGCCATTCAAATACCGTGAAGTCATATATCAAACACAAGAGGAAGTGTTTCATCTGATTTCCAAACACTGACTGAATATATCAACCACGACAATGAGTGTTTCATCCTATATCCAAACTCTATTATCTCCAACATTAGAAGTGTTTCATCCCGGGGTTTCATCTGATATCCAAACACCGAGAAGTAATATATTAAACACGGGAAGGAGTGTTTCATCTGATATCCAAATACCGAGACGTAATTACGATATCAAACACGAGAAGGTGTGTGTTGCAGCTAAAATCTATACACCGAGAGATAATAGATTAAACACGAGAAAGAGTGTTTCATCCGATATCCAAACACCGAGGAGTAATTTCTCACAAACCAGAAGGAGTGTTTCATTTGATATCCAAACACCGAAACGTAATAGGTTAACACATGAAGAAGTTTTTCATCTGATACCAGACCCTGAAAATTGCGAAGCAATATATGAAATATACGATTGAGTGTTTGATCTGTGTTACAACACGAGGAGCGTTGATATCACGTCTCAATTCCTTAATTAAATTCTCTAACTATCAAATGAATACAAAGCTTTAATTTGCACTGTGGTGTTATATACAGCCTTCGTTTACTTCATTTATTGTTTCTGAGTTTGTTAAAAGAAAAAGTGCCTTGCAAGCGCGTAAGCGAATTAGACTCCGAATTTTTTAGATCCTTTATTCATGTATTGCGCCATCTGGCGGCTTGCAGGACTAAAAACAAGATTTAAGCAAGGGTAGTACCATTTAGGGTTGCCCTTTTTGCATTTTCTCTTACATAATAGACCTTATTCACGATATCCGCCATCTTTGCATCACACATGTCCAATACTCTCGACTGGATTCCAGTGGACAAAACCTGGATCCTTAAGGACTGATGGTTTCTCCGAGGGGGCAAACAAGTGAAAAAAATTGCCAATGGAAGAAATCGCGGTCGAGTTTGTTTATTCTAGACAACAGGAAATGAAGACCTTTTCACCCTAAAGACGATATTAGGGCCATTTATACGAGGAAAAATAAGACGCGTCTTACATAGGACGCGAACTTTCCGTATAAACGGCACATTTCGTCTCAAATAAGACGCGGCTTAGCTAAGACGCGTCTTATTTAAGAACAGCCCTTAGCACCTGTTCTTAGATAAGACGCGTCTTAGCTAAGACGAGAAAAACTTCGTACAAATGACCTTCGCGTCTTAAATAAGACGCGAACGCATAGTACGCATGCGTTAATTTTTGGTGCGCCACGTTGGATTGCCGTTGCTACGGGCAACATTTACATGAAAACGAGTCAATAACAGAAATAAGACGCGAATCATTTATACGAGCTGTTCTCGTCTTAGATAAGACATGCTCGTATAAATGGTACAGTTCGCGTCTTATTTAAGACGCGTCTTATTTTTCCTCGTATAAATGGCCCTAATGTCTAAATATGGGTGGAAGTGATCATCGGTTACTTTTTTGTATGCAGTAGCGTCCGTAGATGTCCTCATGGCAAACAGTTATCTTGCCAAAACTCGATATGTACATTTTGCATGACTATGAAATCGTCGTCTTGTTTTGATAGAATAAGCAAACTCGACCGCCATTACTCGTATTTGCAAATTTTATCACTTGTTTCCCATCTGAAATACCACGTGACATAGCTTTTATCCCATCCATCCTAGAGCGCGTGCAAAGATGGCGGGTATCGTGAATAACGTCTATTGCTAAACCATCAGTTAAATAATCATCAAAACTGTTCTTTTCTTTTTATTTCCCAGTCTCTTCACTTCTTTTACGGCCTTGGGGCCTTGGTTAGCCCTGTTATTGCAGAGCCTTTCCTGCGAAGCGCATGCGCAGATGGGCATTTCCAAAGCAACATCTTTGGTTGGACACTTGAAAATTCCACCCTGGAGTCTTATATTACGTATAACGTGGATGGAGTCAAGTTTAACGTGACTATGTTGAACGATACCGTGTCAAGAGTGTCTCTACCAAGACATTATCATACTAAGTCTTTTGTTCAATATGCTTACTGGCTTGTAGCACTTCTCCAGGTTTGTGTTTTTATCCCCGGACCCGGCGGATACTCCCTAACCCCGGGGGTAATCCCTATAATTGCCTATACCGGAAGGCTCCACACGAAAGGGGTCCCTTTTTCAGGCTTCATCTAAGTAGCTCTAAGTATAAAAGGGTAGAGTTTTCACTAGCTAATGTGTATGAAACGGTAAGGAAATCTGTCATTTCATCGTACAAAAAGGTCCAAAACGGCTAAAAGATGCATTTTATGGCTATGGGATCTAGTTATATCTAAAATTCACTGAATTTACAGCAGTCAAGAGGGATACAAAGTTATACGAAAGGGGTATCTTTTCGGTCGAAAACGGTATATTTTTGAGTAGAAGGTTGGACCTCCTGGCGGAGCTCCCCACCTCCCGTATAAAACTTTGTTGAGTACCCTCCTGGGCGCCGGACTGTATCAGATAGGTGTGTTGTGGTTCAGTTTTATCTTTGGTTTAAATTTAAAAAGAAAATAAAATTTAAACCAAGGATAAAATTGAACCACAACAGATGCAATGAGGCGATAGCATGCATACACGTCTCAAATGTCCTTTAATAGGGACTTTAAGATCCGAGGACGGCGACGACAGTGAAAACGTCGCTGAAAAAGTGAATTCGCGTTCTTTCAATCTTCATTGCGATTACTCCAAGTCACTAACTTTGTCAAATGTAGGCAACCCCTCCTAGAGTTGAATTCTTAACAACCATATCCAAGTTTAGAAAAAGAGAGGAAATCTCGTCGTCGCTTGTGTACTTCCTCTGTACACCGTGAAAGTAGGCATTTTCACGTCGTAGTCGTGAAGTGACGGCAAAGAAATGTACAAAAAAGCGTAATGCACGTGCAAAATTGTTGTTTTGCTAATTAAACCTATTGCTTTTGTGGCGTTCCCGTTGCCGTCGCCGTCGTCGGATCTTAAGGTCCCTAATTTACGAACAAAGTAAAGGAAATAGATAGGCGCGCACAGGTGGCAAGTAGGCCTACATACTGGAGCCCAAGTGAGGCAAAACCACGCATTTTTCATTCGCATCAGCCCTTATGTTTACTGTTAAGTTTTTATTGTGCAGAAGGAAGACCGTTAATTTCATGGGTTATCCTTTGTGGGTTATATCATTAACTTGTCATAAAGTAAGTTGTAAAATCTTGAAAATTCAAGATGTTGCCGCAAGATATTAAATTTTTAATTCTTGAACGGACCCTATTTCGACGTGCTATTAATAACCTATGCCTTTTTTTCTTTCCCCCTCAAGGTTCCAGTGCAGTCAGGCCTGTTTTATCTAATTTATAGACAGCGCTACCTCAGGCGCTGGGCACCTGAAATGTTTGCTAGGAGAGTCGTCACTCTCGCCGCTTTGCCTGCTGGGAATGGAGATGAAACAGAAAGTGAAGGTATCGCAAACTTGTTCCCAGGGCTTCTCTCTCTTACATATTGAAAGGGGCTGAGGAAAAGGCTCACTGTACTCATTCGGCAATTTATAAACGAGAGGAAAACTGGAACCGAATGTGTCCCGCAATTGTTTCTGGGAAATTTCTGGGGTCGTTACCAGGGACGCGCCAGTGAGCCATTGGCCAATTCGTTTTTCTGGCACTAATAACAGTCCCAGAGGTCTTTGCGAAAGTCAACTCGACCCAGTTTTTCTCGAATTAGTAGTAACCAGATGATTCTTTCAATTCGGGTGATAACTGTGCAAAACATGAAGCAACAAGAGAAATTATGTGATTGTTAAAGAGCGTGCACGTATACCTTCAGGAAAGAGGCTTCTCCTCTCTGTTTGCTAAATACGATCATATATTTGAAGTAAGCTTAGCCGTTTAGCCGACACAAACGCGATCCCTAATGTTTAGGGATCGCGTTTGTGTCGGTTTTTTCCGACTGTGTGGACGTTTAACTATAAACTATTGTTGTTGTTTTTTAAAACTTGTAAATCATTTTCTTCTCCAGACCTCCCTCAAGTGTTCAAGTCTATGGCAGACCACTCGTCCATCAGACTATCATTCTGCAGTCTTCCCGCCAAAATACCGCTGGTCACCCTGCTGGCAGGCCTGTTGCTATTCTTGTTTGATGGATTACAAGGGGCATTTGGTGGCTATGTATACACGTATGCGGTAAAAAGCGAAGTAGATCTATCCTCATCTCATGCTGCTTATCTTAATTCATTATTCTGGGTAGGTAGATAAACTGAGTAGGAATGGATTTCTCTTTACTGTTAACTCAATCTGGTGCCCAGAGTCCGCGGGTTCTTTGGTCAGTGCGTTGTCGCCTGGTGGTAGTAGGTACCTCATATATGGTTCCTATAGTGTACCGATATATAGATTCTTATAATGCAGTCTTTCTTCTGGTGTACCGAGGAATCATATATGAAGTACCTACGGTGGTGGTAGGTACTTCCAGTTTATAGTGGTCGAGTCTTCTGGCGACCACCCGCTGACCTTAAGGCCCAAGGGCTCTGGGTACGAGATGTCTGTAAACATAGTTAACTTCATTCAATTTCCTTAGCTTTTATTTTGTTTAATATACTTAATACCTGCGAGCGATCGACATGGCCTTAAAACAACGATATAGAGCATTAGAATGGTGACAAAGAAAACGAAATTGGAATGAAACTGCGACAGAAAAAGAAGACAATTCGAAATGTTGTAGTGAAAAGCCGTCAGAGACATGGTTTGAAATTCGTATATATAATGAATTTGTTTCTGAATAGAATTCCAAGAAATTCCCGTCTTCAAATACTCAATAGTACGCCCATGTTAATTCCTTACAGTGTTCATTCGCCGCTGGAAGATTTATTTCAATCCTCATTTCAGTATTCCTGGTTCCGGACAAAATGCTTTTCGTGAATCTGGTAGGTAATTAAAAGTAATTTTGATCATACGAGACGGCATAGAAATCGTAAATAAAGCTCCTGCGATTTTGCAAGCGAGCTGACGTTTGCCACAGTGCCATTCCCAAGTTTCTCTATTAGCTTTCGAGTAAACAACAGTGATATCAATAAAAACGGCTGAAAAAAATTAATCGATCTAGCAAAAAATGTAAAAGGAAATACATAGACAGTTTTAACATTATCTCATACTCATCCCTGGCTCCAAATGCGGAGTTTCATGCCATTCATATCTAACAACTACAACTTCTACTATATAGATTTTTTTCTTCTTAAAATATATTTTTCTTGTCGCCATAAAGAGTAAAAAACACCAATAAAAAAGGTCTGAGGGTTACTGTTCTTGTTTCATCGTAAAAGACAATAGAATGATAATAACTTTGGCTTTAAATGATCATTTGGCGCGAGGGGACTGGGGCGAGTTCAAGACCAGTTCGTTTGTAGACGGGAAGAGTTATCGCAATCGCTATTAAAACCACTTGGACTATAAAAAGGGCCTTTGTTTATGAGCAGAACTGGCTGATCAAAAACATGTCAATTACATAAACCTTCAAGTTGGCGCGAGATTTGCTAAAACAGCTGTCAAGCTTTAAATGTTTTGGAGGCGAAACATATCACCTTCACGTGAATGTAGACCGCGCGGGTCATGGAAACAACAGACAAAAATAGCCTTCACGCAGCACGCGCGCGAACTTTAAATAGATTTCAAATATATATCATGGGGCATAGGGATTCGCTCTGTTAGATTATTCTCTCTTGATTACTATTGTATACGCAGTCGGTGATCCGCAGCGAAATACAAGTGAAGTATCTTAAAAAGTTAAAATTGTTATAAACCGTGATTAACCAGTTCCTCACGACCAACCGATAATTGTGTTTCTGAATTACGTTTCAGTTTGGCTCGTTTACAGCAATATCCGTAATGTTATACCTTCACCAATTTCCCCTCTCTTTGTGGATTGGTACTGGCGCATTTGGTCTGTTTATGAGCTCTGTATTTCCCACGACTCTCGCCTTGGCAGAATACTACATTGACGTCACAGGTAAAGCTTTAGCGAATCAGTTAAAAAGTGACTTTGCGTTCTTTGAAAATTCAGGGCGATTATCCCAAGTAGCTAACTTTGTAAAATCGTTTGTTTACATTGTCGATAAAACGAGAAATTCGACAATTTTGCGTCGTAGTCCTGAAGTGACCGCAAAGAAATTTACAAAAAGCGTGATGCACGTGTAGACTTGTTGTCGGTTGTTTTGCCAATCTAAACCTATTGCTATTTTGACGTCAGTTCTCGTCGCCGTTGGGACAAAAAGTCCCTCTTATCAAATGAATCATTACCATGGGAACGAGGTTGTATGTATCTTCGTATCAGATGCCAAATTATCTTGTTATACCCCCCAACTCAAGATTCCGATTGGAGCAGAAAGGGTCACGTGCTAAACGTGTCAAAACAGTGATTTCAGTCCAAGTCAATACGATAGGTGGAGACATCGAGTTGACCAGAAGTCTGAGTTATAAAAAGTGACAAATATTTCTCTTACTATGAGTTTGTCGTATTTTCAGGTTCAATAACAAGTATCTTGATCGTGAGTTCTGCAACAGGGGAGATGGTATTTCCACTTCTTGTCGGAAAGGTGATCCTTACTAATGTTAACGTTTGTTTAAACACCCCTGAATCCCTAACATTCAGTAATGACCGCAATGCATCTTTGTAAGATCGAGGTCACAACAATCATCGTAGTCAGATCGATTTATCTAAATAGGCACTCTAGGGTGACTGGCATATTAAGCTTAAAATACCCGGAGTCATGACTGCCACTGCTTAGGTTGTGATATAGTTGTGCGCATGCGTAAGTTACTGGCCATACCGCGGCGTTTAAACCGCGGCGTTGTGCTCCAATGCTTAAATTACTGTGCTTCCTTCCTTTTTTGGATTTGTTGGCAAAGATTCGTCAGTTTTCGTTTCTGTAAAGGAGGGTCAAGGAACTATGTCACGCTACTCGCTATCTTTTTAAAAAGCTCAAACATATGTTCGCATCAGTTGAATTCCAAAAATATAGTCACAGAATTCACCTAAAACAGCCATATCCTAGTCATATAACCCCTTTTAACTGTTTAACAAGTAAGATATCAAATTGAAAAGCAAAATCATGTTTCTATTTCAAATTCCCAGGCTTTCGCCCGTGATGGCCCTTACTCGTTCTTGGTGATCGGGTTCTTGATTTGTACATTCGCTCTTCTGGTGTTCCTGATACTGCGCATGACAGCCAGAGCGCAACTTAACCAATCAGGTTAGTGTATCATAGCAAAGGGTTGTGACGTAAATGGATACCTTTTAAGAGTCGGATTTCCCAAGCTAAGCAACGACTGGAACCTAATATTTCAAACTCAATTAATTTGAAATACGTACGAAAAACCTCCATGTGCGACCTCGTCTCCTATCTAGTGGGACCACAAATTGATTTACAACATTCTCTCTTGTTTGCAAACACAAAAGTTTCGGCGCGATTTCTGTAACAGAGCGAAGGTGCGCCGCTCCGATCTCGAAAGTGGAGCGTCATATATCGGATGGGTTCTGTGCCAGACTTTAGAGCAGTGTAAACGGGTATTCGGACCGTAGTGGAAGTGGATAAATAGGAGCGAGGACTGGAATCCACTGAAGACTGGGATCTAGTTCCCCAAACCCTCTCGACCAACCGCTCAGGCAAGATTTTTTGATGTGTGTGAACGACTTGTTCCAGTTTTGTACCGTTGCTCTTCATACAGTAACTAGGGACCTTAAGTAACAACCATGGCGACGGCCACGAAAACGTCACTTAAAAAGTGAATTCGCGCTACTTCAAACTTTATCGCGCTTATTCCAACTCGTTCAATTCGTGAAATGTTGGCAAATATTTCTGGAGTTGAATTCTAAAAGACTGTATCAAAGTTCAGGAAAAGAAAAAGAAAGTCGTTGTCTTGTGTTCATGTTGTCGACCAAACGTGAAATTAGGCACTTTCACGTTGAAGTGGTACAAAAAAAAGAGTGATGCACGTGCAAAGTTGTTGTTTTGCTAATCTAAACCTATCGCTTTATTGCCTGTCCTCGTTGCCGTCGCCGTCGTCGTACCCTTTAAACCCTAAGATCAAAATTTGAATTCTCATTTGTTGCCCCCATTCATTTCCTACAGAAGTAATGGGGAGAAGTTGATAAAATGTCAAACAAATTCATGCATGATGTCTGTAATTCTCATTACCACTCCGTTTCACAAAGCACTGATATTACAAGGAGAAATTTGATGCTGAACACTCTTAGGGTTAAGCTCCCTAATGTACTACACCAAACAGCTTTTCATGTCGGCACGATATACTCTCCGGNGTGATGGCCCTTACTCGTTCTTGGTGATCGGGTTCTTGATTTGTACATTCGCTCTTCTGGTGTTCCTGATACTGCGCATGACAGCCAGAGCGCAACTTAACCAATCAGGTTAGTGTATCATAGCAAAGGGTGGTGACGTAAATGGATACCTTTTAAGAGTCGGATTTCCCAAGCTAAGCAACGACTGGAACCTAATATTTCAAACTCAATTAATTTGAAATACGTACGAAAAACCTCCATGTGCGACCTCGTCTCCTATCTAGTGGGACCACAAATTGATTTACAACATTCTCTCTTGTTTGCAAACACAAAAGTTTCGGCGCGATTTCTGTAACAGAGCGAAGGTGCGCCGCTCCGATCTCGAAAGTGGAGCGTCATATATCGGATGGGTTCTGTGCCAGACTTTAGAGCAGTGTAAACGGGTATTCGGACCGTAGTGGAAGTGGATAAATAGGAGCGAGGACTGGAATCCACTGAAGACTGGGATCTAGTTCCCCAAACCCTCTCGACCAACCGCTCAGGCAAGATTTTTTGATGTGTGTGAACGACTTGTTCCAGTTTTGTACCGTTGCTCTTCATACAGTAACTAGGGACCTTAAGTAACAACCATGGCGACGGCCACGAAAACGTCACTTAAAAAGTGAATTCGCGCTACTTCAAACTTTATCGCGCTTATTCCAACTCGTTCAATTCGTGAAATGTTGGCAAATATTTCTGGAGTTGAATTCTAAAAGACTGTATCAAAGTTCAGGAAAAGAAAAAGAAAGTCGTTGTCTTGTGTTCATGTTGTCGACCAAACGTGAAATTAGGCACTTTCACGTTGAAGTGGTACAAAAAAAAGAGTGATGCACGTGCAAAGTTGTTGTTTTGCTAATCTAAACCTATCGCTTTATTGCCTGTCCTCGTTGCCGTCGCCGTCGTCGTACCCTTTAAACCCTAAGATCAAAATTTGAATTCTCATTTGTTGCCCCCATTCATTTCCTACAGAAGTAATGGGGAGAAGTTGATAAAATGTCAAACAAATTCATGCATGATGTCTGTAATTCTCATTACCACTCCGTTTCACAAAGCACTGATATTACAAGGAGAAATTTGATGCTGAACACTCTTAGGGTTAAGCTCCCTAATGTACTACACCAAACAGCTTTTCATGTCGGCACGATATACTCTCCGGTATTGTGTGAACATATCCTTAAGAAACCGTTTTTAATGACAATTGCCTTTTCTTACAGTGCACGACCTATACCGATGTGCCGTTAAGCGCCTATGTCATTGTAACCAAGCCTGCGATGATTGTGAGTACACGCCGCTAGTCACGTGCGAAGAGGGAGAAGAAAATGCGGGAAACGAAGAGCCAGTCAGAAGCGAGCCAGTTCACAGAGTGGCGGAACTACAAAGTTAACCAATCACTAAGAAGAATGTAATTTTTCTTACCGACGAATCTGTTTAAGAAAATAACTGCTGTAAAAAAATTATATAATGACGGTACACTATTGCTTTGATTCTAGAAGAATAATGTTTTAACTGCTAAAATGGTCTCCTTAATGACCGAAGACGATAAAGGCAAGTCCACGCACAAGAGAGGGTCTTGTCATTCTTCTGCTGATCTGGGCCAAGAAGTTATTTGATATGATGCAAATTTGTACCCAGTTCTGTTGGCTCTCATGACGAGAGAATTTTCTTTTCAATTGCAATCTTGTTTCAAAAGATTATTTTATAAGTAGGTTCTAGGTATAGAGCTAGGAATTTTATATTAAATATTTGAAGTTCTTTTTATGTTTATATTTCTCTTGGTCAATGCTTATTCAGTTGGAGACAAAATTGGAAATTTAGGAAACTACACTGAACATGCACTAAGAGTATCAAATTCAGTGCGCAAACACTGTCCGAAATGCTATGTTAGTATAGAAAACTTCTAAAATAAGATAAACTTGGGAGCGCAAATAGGGATACCTAAGCGTATTATGTGAAGGATCTCGCATAGAGGCTACTGAATTGAAACCACAATCGGTGCCAAAAGTAGTTGCCACACTTGTCTAACGCGCCCTTTTATCAACAATTTCTTTCATTTCATACAATTCTGTTTAACGCCGTCAATCCCCCACCCCTGAATCCTGTCAGTGTTGTTTGTAGTTGAAGAAAGACTTGAGGGCTTAAAGTGTAACATTGGTTTGGGGGGAGGGATGGGGGTACAGAAGGAGGGATTAGATATGGCCACTATGCAAAAAGAAGGCCATTTTACGGGAGTGCCTCTTCACTTTGTCCCTCGATGCAGCTTTCACAAACTTGTCCTAAGACGTCCTTACCAACGCTGAAAACTAATGCATGAAAAAAAATCCAAACGCAAAAGAGGACGTCAAAATCCCGCAAATGTATAGTTGTCTTCGGTTGGTCCATAGTCCTTGGTCAGCCGATATCTTTGGTCGATGTTAGAGCGCCTTTCAGTATTTTGGAAACTCAAATTGTTTTTTTGTAGCTGGGTTTCTGAATTCTTACGCGTCAATTTCATTTGGTGCTGCTGCCTCAGCTGTCATGTAATATATTCGTGGATAAAAATAAACTTTGGTGGCTGTTGTACTCTACGACCGTGGAACCTCCATTTAACGAAGGGCCAAGGAACTGACAAAATTTGTACGCTATAACGAGGTTTCGTTATATCGAGATTCTTTTTCAATATTTTACTATTACTGGGAAAAAGAAAATCGTTCGTTTCAAGAACTTCGTTATACAGGTGTTCGTTAAATCGAGGGTCCACTGTATTCTGGTATAGAGATAAAACAATTAGTTTTGCGCATTTTAGAGTAGTTGACTCAAGACTAATACCTCCGGAATCGGCATTAACTGTCGGTCATACAAGACCGTCCACATTAAAAAGAGTAAAAGATTAGGGATTAAGTATGGCAGGGACCAACTCCAAGTGTCCCTTTATTAGGTAGATGTCCGTTTCGAGAGAGTTCCACCAGTTTAGAGCGATGAAAAGCCAGCATCCACATAAGACCAAACAGGTATGATCTGGGATTTACACGGTGGTAAAGAACTACAACTTTCGTACTTTTCGTCCTAAAGTCGTTTTAGACCTGGTCTTGGCAAAGTTGTCTACTTGCAGGTTGTTATTTCTGCCAAAAGAAATTTGTTTTTATTTCAGAACCAATAATTAACCTGCTCTCTTTCTCTTCGCTCACAAGGAAAGAATGATCGAAAGCAAAACAACAATCACCCAACGCGAGAACTTCTTCACTTTTGTAAAATCTAATCACTTCGTTTCTCTGCTAGTCAATGATACTTCTAGACAACTTGTAATCATAAAGTACCAAGAATTCACTCATTAAAAGAAGAATATTCTTTTGCAAAGAGGATGAAGAGGTATTTTGTCGTAGGAAACTTTCTTTTTGTTTATAAAACAAGTACATGCTACTAGTTATTAAAGTTATATGAATAATAAATTACTAACACCAACCGCCAAAAGGCAGCCATATTTGAAAAATAATATTATCGACGATCATGGCGAAGTGATTATGGCCAAAGTCTAAAGTCATGGCTTTTACATTTAGAGAAAACTTGAGTAACCCAAGAACATAGAATTCAACGCGTTGAAAGAGCAAAATCCCGCGGTGGAGAGAGTAAAATTGTGTTGCGGAATTCGCGCTGTTCTCGTTCGTTGGTTACAAATATGTCCTCTAGTTGGAGATTTTAAACACAAGCTCCCTTCACACATGAAGAGGAAAGAAAGTTATGAGCTTTGTACATCTTCTTGGCTTGACTATCGCTCGAGACCGGGCGGAAAAGAACGGCAAATATTCCGATCACATTCGCTCAAGTACAAACGGACGTAACGCTTGTTTTCCGCGCCGAGTGCTAATCACAGTGTTGTATTGCGGTTGCTTTTTTTCTTTTGGAACCACAATGGCTATTTTGGGACCAACATTGATGGAGTTAGGCCACTTGGTTCACCATGGTCTAGATATGATGAGCTGGTTGTTTTTTACTCAAGCGGCGTACGCACTGTTGGGAGCGAGCGTAGCAGGGATTTTATTGGACAGGTAAGATTCCGGCCACATATTCTACGGAAATTCGCTTTATTTCAAAGTTGATAGTCGGTGAAGCAGACTTGGGAATTACATTCAAAGACTTAATTGGGGCCACCTTAAAGGCCATAATAAACAGCACCAGGAGGAAGGTATAGTTACGGCTCAGTAGCTTTCATTGATGACCAGTCCCTCTTTAGATTTCAGCCATCCGTGAACAGCATGATAATTCATTAAAATGTTAGCGATTTAGAATTCCTTCAACATACTTAAAAGTTGCAACTACCTTGTAACGCACAATAAACAGTAGTACAGGAAAGTACTGTTCAGTAGCTTTCATTTGAGTGGTCACTCTTCAGGATTTCATCCACAGACTCAAAAGTTAGAACCACCTTGTACAGCAAAATAAACAGTATCACAGGAAAGTACTGCTCAGTAGCTTTCCTTTAAATGGTAACACTTTAAGGTTTCATCCACAGGCTTTAAAGTTAAAACCACCTCTTACAGCATAATAAACAGTACTACAGGAAAGTACTGCTCAGTAGCTTTCATTTGAATGGTCACAAGTTAGGATTTCATCCACAGACTCAAAAGTTAAAACCACCTTGTAAGGCATAATAAACAGCACCACAGGAAAGTACTGCTCAGTAGCTTTTGATTGAATGGTAACAACTAAGGATTCCATCAACAATTAAAAGTAGAAAAACCAAACATCACCTAAAACTTACGCCAAAAAGTTAAAAAAAAAACAATGGTATTATGGGAAGCCTACCCTGGATGCAAGTCAGTTTTAAATCTAGTGACAAGTAGAGACTTCCTGCAACGATGTGGTCATATAAATAGTACAGGAAAAGTAATGTCTTACAGTTTTCTTTTTAAAGGTCACTCTTAAAGATTTCGGCCGCAGAATCAAAAGTTGTAGCAACCTAGTAAAGCATAATAGTACAAACAGTATCGCAGGACTAAGAATTACTTCTGCGCGTTGTTCCTGTCCGCGTAGTACTTTTCAGTACGTGTTTTTAATCCTGAATGGCTACTCTTAAGGATCCAATTCACTAGTCAGGGGCACCCAACGAGAATATAGTTCAAAACCACTTAAACATAGCATTGTCAAACGTATTTTAGTATTTAAACGGTAGATAAAGGCATATTTTTATCCCCTAAAAATTTTTCATCTGTTCGGATTTCCTAGCTGAAAGTCTAATGATCCGAAAATTATAGGGACCAAAACTTAACTTTTCGAAAATTCCAGCCAGAAAAAAGGCTCCCGAAAATTCTAGGTGACCTTTTTAGAGTAAAACTCCTTTAAAAATAGGCAATTATACCATTATTTAGATGTTCGAAAATCCTAGGAGAGGCAGGCAAGCAAAAAATTTTACAACAAATGTTCCAAAAATTGTAGATCTCAAATATTCTTCCGAACAGACATTTTCCGAAATTGTCGTTGGGTGCCCCTGACTAGTCTACTCAAGAGTTAGGCCCAGTCTCCACAAATCCAGATATTTTTGAAACCGCAGATTTTTTTACGCGTATCGGCCTTCCGTCCAAACGAATCCAGTGAGTCCCCTCAACGAAATGGCATCTGTTTGAAGATTTTTGAAACCGCTTTTTTGGATGGGACGGAGCGAAGTCGTGTAGACGATTAGAACGGGATGTTTTCGATTTCAAACCCCTTGAACAGCGTTAAATTTCAGTCACAGATTCAAAAGCTAGAAACACCTTGTACAGCAGCCATAATAAACAGTACCACGGGGGAAGTTCTACTCAGTAGCTTTCATTTCAGTGTTAACACCTTACGTCTCATTAACAGGCTCAAAACGTTACATGAAATGACGGACGGCCTCTTGAAGTTTATGACTTAAGTAAAGTGGTCTCGAATATAGAACATTTTCGTTTATTAGTTTTATCCAACACCTGTACGGTGCGCGGATCAAGTTGTCTTTACTGTTTAAAATGTAGCCGATTTGGCCTTAAATTAAATAGACTACCTGCTGTTCAACTGGTACCACAAACACAAATTTTTTTGTGTGTTTATTGTCCTACTGTTTCTTTTGTTTGTCTGAAAGCTGATACAAGCAACCTGATACAAACATAAAGTAGATAAAATAATATCTCCAAGGGAAAAGTCGACATAACAACTAAGACGGCTATCCAAGAAATTTAACCCAAACTGGACACATTTCACCAAAGGCGTATAGATGTCACAATGGTGGGCAGGTTTGACCTGCTGCCGAGTTTACGGTGCTGTAGTTTACACTTCTCTGGCTTTATGTGGACACAACGAAGACTCTGGCTGATCAAGACTTGGACTTGATGAAAGAATTTCTGGCATAACTTTCAGCATAGCGTAAGAACTCTTGGCGTTTTCTGACAAACCGTCATAACTGCACGTCAAACAGTCCGTTCAAGGGCAAAACTCTCGAGATTTTTTTTATAAGGTCTGGCACTGATATCAGTCGCTGACAAATCATTCAGAGGTTGAATTGACAGTTGAGAGAGCTCAGCTCAACACAAGACAAGAAATGCTTCGACAAGTCATTTTTCCAGTGCTATGGGAAAATTTTAAGTCTTACGCTGAAGGTCGCGTCGATGGACTACGACAAATTTGCGCGCCTCATTGTAGAACAATTTTCGCCCATTTCCTCTATTTTAGCACCTTCTTTATGTTCGGTATGTCAGTAGGAATGGCTGGGCCGACTCTCACGGATTATTTGATTTCATTTTTTGAAAATATTGACATAATTGATGCCCTCGCCTGGCTATTGTTTACGCAGTCTACTTTTCGCTTCGTAGGCGCCATTGTTGCTGGTTTCCTCGTTGACAGGTAAAACCGGTTTTTCTTACTTGGTTGCAGACTCAGCAGGTTTAAGAGTGATCCCTTCTAGATTTTCATCTTTGAAAGCCCGTGATTCCAAGTCTGCTTCTGTTGTCGCCTTAGTTCTGTACGCATTGAAAATCTTTTTCATGGTGTCCAGGAATTACCCTTTACGATAGACTAGCATGCACTCGGGCATCTTTGCGGACGCATTACATTTAAACCTCTTCATTGTGTTTCATTCTGAGAAATCGAATTAAGAACTAGCCATGCAAACTCCTTAGCAAGTTATCTTGATTTTCCTATAAAGTGTCCTGTTCAAATAGTAAAATAAAAAAATAATCCATATAACTTAGTTGGCCATTGATAATAAGTGTGGACGACAAATGCAAGACGACTATTTGCATTGTGTGCTTGTACGCAGGATTTTAGCCCGCGCACACCAGTGCAACGCATGCGCGCGCACGAACTTTTAAGGGTGTAAACTGCGATTTTAGTCCCACTTAAGGTGTACAGGATGGAAAGTCAAACTTTTAAGTCTGTGCATGAAATCCTAAAGTGTGACCATTCAAATGAAAGCTACTGAGCAGTACTTTCCCGTGGTACTGTTTATTATGCTGTTCAAGGTAGTTCTAACTTTTTTGAGTCTGGAGATGATATCCAAAAGGGCGACCATTCAAATAAGAGTTCCGTAGCAGTACTTTTCTGGGCACTGTTTACTATTCTGTGCAAAGTGGTTGTAACTTGTGAGTCGGTGACCGAAATCTTAAAGTGTGACCATTCAAATGAAAGCTACCGAGAAGCAGTTTCCTAAAATAATTATTTTACTTGTAAAGGAATATTTAATGTACTTTTTTCTTTTCTCCTCAGATATGATATAAATCGTAACTTTATGCTTCTGTGCTTTCTGTTACTGAACGCTATTTTTCTGGCCGTGATTCCAATATGTCGGACATTATGGCTGCTGATTTTGTCAACAGCGGCGGCGGGATTCTCAGTTGGAATTTTAGACACCGCTACTAACGTACAGCTTATTGGGATTCATGGCAAGAAGGTAAAATAGTCTTAGTTTTTAACATGACGAGGTTTAAAATCCCAGCATAGGAAACTCATCGAATCCATCATGGCATCTTAGGTTATCAAGTGATGCACTCGACGTTTTGTCACGTGATTTTTACTCTAAATCACGTGGCATAAAGTCCCGAAAGATCGCAGGAACTTGGCAGCCAGCGTCCCTGTTCAATGTTCCTCTATTTAGAATTCCAATCATCGAAACATTTGCCTTTTTCTCGAGAGTTCAACAAATGGACGGATGTTTACTCGCAAACATTTTTCAAGAATCAAAACTTTTGCAATTTACCCTTCATGTGGTATTATCCTGTATTCTTGCTTTTTTTGATGCGGGCTATTTCGTCATAGCATAACGTGCGAACTAGTACTCTTCCACCACATGATTTTCTCACGGAAACAGCTGAGTCCACAACCTCGTAGGGCGGGTAGGAGAGAACCCTGGAAACGAGGTTGCTGAGTCCAACCGCGCCGCGCCGCTGTCTTTGCGCGACCTCAATGGTCCCCTTCATTCGGCCTACTATTTCACGCTCCACGTCAGCCATAGAACAATACAGAATAATTGTCAACATCTTTCTTATAACAATGGCTGGTCATTAATTAGCTGGCGGATTTAGGCAAACCACAAATGGGGAAATATTTTGAATGAATGGTAATTACAGTTATCTGTACGTATTGAAAGTTTCCCGCATGACAATCAAACAGTTCTCGCTTATAATTATTCCACACTTGGCTAATATTCAATTTCCCTTTTATTTCTGCTTCAGGTTTCTCCTTACTTACAGGTAAGAAGAATTGTCCAGTTATTATTATTATTATTATTGTTATTATTGTCACCATTATTAATAGAAATTTGTACCGCGCAGTTTCTATGAGAATATTCAACTGCGCCTAGTTAGTTAGCTTCCTTCCTATTCTTAAAACGAGATATAATCTTGTTACTGTTGTTATTTCTTTTTTCAGGCTCTTTATTTTTCGTACGGCTTTGGTGCATTCGTGAGCCCGCTAATAGCAGAACCTTTTCTCAGTGGTACTCCCCATCCAGATATCGGGCTGCCGGCGGCCAAGAGGGGGAATCCGCTACCCTACGGTGGAATGGGACATCGTGGGCACCATCATTTATCACACAGACCAACCAATCACATGAGAGACACTTTCTATACTGAGCCAGAAAAATATAAGAGCGAAGTTCAAGTAGCTTATTGGATTATAGCTTTAGCACATGTAAGTTATTAAGTTCTCAAGATGTCCTACAGTATCTCCGAAATGGAAAAAGGGTTTCTTAAGTGAGCAATGTGTATCGATAAAGTAATTAGAGATATTTTCTACTATCATTCGATGTAAATTTTTCTTCCTTTTCATTGGCCGAGAACCAACCACGTGACCTGCAAATAACTGCCTACAAATAATGGTCTGCTCATGCGCAATGTCGTCCAGCTATGGTTGGCTGCAAATAATATTCTACTCATACGTAAATGTGAAAGCACGCTTTTCTCCTTCTTGCGATCGCTCTTGCGTGAAAATCGCAGCTTCCCGAAGATATTTATCAAAAAACAAACTCGGTGACTGAATGATAAATCAATTATCCGTAATTCATAATCGCTTTTACACTCGACTTTCTTGATGGTTAACTGCATTGGCCATTTTGAAGTTGCTCAGGAGACTGGGTCAGGTTGCATTATAGAAATGTTTCGGGGAAGTTATGGCTTCTTTTTTGGGGCTTACGAGGTTGCGCAGGGAACTGGGTCAAAATTTTTCCCTTCAAAACAGACCCATGAAGCATTTCGTCACCATCGAGTCCTAATCGATTGTAACTTTAAAATGTCCAATGGCTAGAGACGGACAGCTGCCTTAGACGTATGTCTCGAGGTGCAATTGACCTCTGCCGCTCGTCAGCGGTTTTCTATGACTCTCTTTAAAACAGCACTATGTAAGTAGCACACTCCTGCTTTTCTCAACGATGTCCTTCTTAGAGAGAGTTGATTTAAAGGGTCTGCAACAATACAGATAGTTACAGAAACAACTTAACTTTCTATAATTTACGAGACATTTTTCGACGATACATCCGCTATCAACAGTGTTAAATACTTTGAAATTACCGTTGAATTGAAATCGCGGACAAAGTTCGTTACATTGCGTTTTAAGTATTGCGTACTTGAAAGTTTAAAAAATTGACTTCACTGAACTTACAGTGAGATAGTTAGGCTTAAATGTTACATCTGTTGATTGAGTCTGGTTTCCTTAAGCTTAACTTGAAACTTAGTAGCCGCAGATTCAAGGATCTCGCTCGCAGCAATCCGCTGAGCAGGACCGATTTCGACAGGAACAGGGACTCTGCGGATATCTACTTATCACATACTAATTTGTTTCTATTCGTATATAGTTACCAGTTGTTATAGGTCTGGCATATATTGTCATAACAGACAAGTGGGAGGAACACAGATTAAAAACTCAAGCTGCCAGCAAAACAGAAAGCAAAGATAGCACTTCTGAAAACCCCGATGGAGATATAGAAGGTAAAATTTTGCGCTTAATTCGCAGAGAGGTTAGAAAATCAAGATAGACCAGCTGCTTTCAGAACTAGCGCGAGAGACTTACGAAGGGCGAGCGGCTAATGCGTAAGATGCGTAAAGAAATGTCCGTAAATCTGCTTGATTATACGACTTCGCTCGCCATTTGTGGTTCTTAGGCTTACGACTGCTCACGGTTTATAATCTTGACGGTGTGTGAGATGGTAATTTAACAGGAGAATAACTTTTATTAGTGAACAGTTCCCGATATACACCCTATGTGAGTTCCAAAAGAACCCGGCGAAACAACAATTTGCCTCATGCAAATCACAACAGGTACAATTGAACAGAACTGAATTAAGTTACTGTAATAGATCGTACATACTGTACGTTGAGAAACTGTCCAGAGCAAAAACTCAATCTCCCCTAAAAAAACACGTGCAAATTCTCTTGAGGAATTTTGTAAAAACAATACAGAATTGTAACTACACCGAAACCGGAACCGGAAATAAACGGTAGCCACACCCTTGATGGAATTTTTTCGAGCGACATGATGAAGGGCAATCGGGAGAGGCGATCGACCAAAGGGAGACGTTGAATAGGGGCATGGATCAAAGAAAGTGGTCGTGAGCAGAGGTTACTGAGTGAGAATAGGGGGCAAACAAACTCCTACCCAAGGCTTTTCTCTCGAAAACTAAAGCTATTTTCACATTGTAACGGAAGAAAGCACACAAAAAGATATCTAGTATAGTATGAACTAGACTACGAGCAGTCTCCCTTTTTTTAGTCGGTCGAGCGAAAAGCGTGAGACACGACAATGACCACGCCCACGACAGAAGACGCGTGAATTCCCTTCGCTATATCGAAAGTCTAAGTATGAACATTAACGGCACAGATCTTGGTTGTTTACATATATTAAACACTGTGCCGGAGCGGTTGACCGGGAGGGTTTGGTACACTAAATCCTAGCCCTCACCTCTGAGTATTTACTTCCGTTTTATTGGATTCCAGTCTTCGCTCGTACTTCTTCACTTAAAGACTTTTTATAGTTTTCTGGCCCTGTGGAGTCACGTGACAACATTTGCATAATTGAAAAACACCAAATTGACAGAAATCACCCATGAAGTGTTCGGTAAAGTCTCATCTTTCAAATGCTTAAGTGCTCAGAGATAGACCACCACCCATCACTTTTTGACTGAATAATTGGGGGCCCATGCCTTAATTTACCTGAGATTCCGTGACGGTCTGAATAATAATAATGGAATTTATATAGCGCTTATACATCGCTGTTCTAAGCGCTTGAATACCTGTTGAAACTGCACCAAGGAATGGCGCAGAACCTATCCGATATGTTTGCTGTGCATTCGAGATCAGCGCGGCGCAGCTTTACTCCGTCGCAGAAATAGCGCCGAGATCGCGGTTCTCATGTGAACAGAATCCCTATTGCGTGTGATTTTCGTGCAGGTGAAAAAGCTATTCGGTATATTGTGAAGAGACAAACTTGCCTAGTCCCTGTACGGCGTTTTCCCAGTCCCTGTCGGGAAACATTTTCGCATGGACCACGTGACCCGAAACGCTTTGGCCGCGAGGAGAAATGAGGCCTAGGGACTAGGCAAGAGACAAACTAAGGAAAAAGCTCGGGGGACGAAGTTGAAAAGCAAATAGGTTCAGCAATCATCTACTAGTCACAGAATGTAAATTAAGATTTATCTTGTCTTTTAGGTTTGCAGAACAAGGTTCACTTAGATACAGAAACTCTAAGGCCTGGTCTGTGCGATGACTCAACAAATAAAACGCAGATCATGTGCATCACATTCTGGACATCATTTTTAGTTTTTCTCTATGACGGAATGCAGGTACTGAACTGATAACTTGGTAGGACGATTTTGTATTGAAAGAAGTTCATCTATTGATCTGTGAAGATGCGGTGCTGTGGTAGTAAATAATTAGATTTTGCTGACTGGTTTGAGGGACTTTCGCGCCCAGATCGTTCTAAAAATAATTAAAGTTGTCGTTGAAAACGCCGTGACAAGAGTAAATGAAAGATGCTCTCTAAGTCATGAACTCCTGGCCCATAAGAGGATGTTAATCCCCGGGTTACAAGGGACGCCGGGAATAGTAGGGACCAATCATATATCTTCTCTTTTTACCTCCCCTTCTCAGGGTTCTTACGGTGGGTACGTTTATACCTATGCAGTCAAGAGTCCTTTGCGAATGACGTCAGCACAGGGTGCCTTTCTTACTTCTGTATTTTGGGTGAGTATGGGCACAGGATGCCTTTCTTACTTCTGTGTGTGTTTTAGAACTTTTTTCTTTCGAAAAGTCGGGAAATGTATCGTTCTTTAGGTAGAGATCTCGACACAGCTATAAGTCGAATACTCAGAATTCATAAGTCAAGATGACATAAAAGTAATTCTCGGATAAGGACGACAAACCGTTGGCCCTGTCTCATAACCCTCGTACTTATAAATTCTGTTGGACGCTAAAGAACCCACACGCTGTTTGTAAGGAGTAGGTAACGTACGCCCCGGTGAGGTGGACTATCTTTTTCGGGCCCGCAGTAATTAGCAGTCATAGGCTGTTACTTTGACCCTTCCAAATTGGCGAACCTGAGTAACTAAAGTACTTAATTTCATTCCTTCAGTCGATACTTTGTGTTATAGGAAGATATCTCACGATGAGAGCCGAGACCTCGTCGCATTATAAGCGCTTCAACATGCTGATCTCCATTTGACAACTCATCAAATTTCAAGCAATCACTCGCGCGCGACTCGTAAAAAACCTAGGCGGTCTAGTTCTTCTAGAGCGATTCGCGAACAGACATGGCCCGAATGTCCTATTTATCAATTTATCTATTAATCACTTACTTAATTTTTTTTTTTGTCTTCAGGGTTCTCTCGCCTTGGGTCGTCTTGTTTCGATACCTATCGCCCTTTTCTTGTCTCCTGCAATTATGCTTCTCGTCGACCTGGTAGGTTAGATATATAGAGAGATAGAGAGATAGATAGATAGATAGATAGATAGATAGATAGATGGATGGATGGATGGATGGATGGATGGATGGATGGATGGATGGATGGATGGATGGATGGATGGATGGATGGATGGATGGATGGATGGATGGATGGATAGATAGATAGATAGTTTATTTATAATTACATCGCAACCGAGAGGTTGAATTAGGCGATTATTTACAAATAATTATGATTACTTAAAAATACTACCACTAATAAGCAAATCTAAAAAACATAAAAAAAAAAAAAACGAAATCGACATGATAAAAAGCAATCGAGACTTCTGAAACTATAGATCGGGAACACAGTTTAAGCTTTGAGGGCGTTGGACATAATAAAACTATTACGGAATCTGTTGGTCTTGAAAACGGACCTCAATTCCCGTGTGTTTCTTAGGCTCGACCTCCAGGTATTAAATACCTTAAATTAAATCCGTAAATTTCATGAGATCTTCAATATCCTTCCTAATAATCCACACTGGTGGAAAAAGGAAGAAAAAGAAGTGCTTCAAAGCTAAGCTGAATTAACCAAAAACCCGCGAAATGCACGGAAAAACGTGCAAAGCGTGTTTATAGCTACGTGATCACGAAGGACGTTCAGTCCGTGCTAATCGCATGGGTAGTCAAAGAAAAACGTACAGTTCATGAAAAGAGCCAAAATACACGGTGACAAGCTCGAGAAAAGAAAACATATAAATGCAAAGTGAGAGGGAAAATCATGGTGTACAGGCGATGCTGCGGTGGCCCACGCTAAACTTAATAAAAACCATTATTTTACCAAAATTGTTACTTAAATACGCAAATAATGTTATTTGGCCGCGCGTGAAACAAGTATTATGGACTCAAAATTTGCTTTCTTTTAAGATATGGTAAAACGGACAACAAAAACGTACATTTTATTCCAGTCGCAACGTTGCTGCAAAACGTGTTGAATAGCAATGTTAATTTTTGAGAGTTTTAGCACCCACGAATAAAATCTCTCTTACAACAAATGAAGTTGTTACAGGTCGCGAAAAGTTGTTGTTGCAAGACATGATAACAAGTGAGTAGTAAAACTCGAAATATCGCCTTTCAATTGTTGCAAAAAAAATGCGCGTTTGCGTACCCGTTTTTACGGTAGCTTTACCCAAGAACCTAAAACATTTTTACCTCCCACATGCGGTATTTTGTTCAGAAACGAGCGGTTCCTAGTTTAGTACAAACCTAAAGATCCAAGGACGGTGACGGTTGTTTAAATGTCGCTTAAAAAGTGAGTTCGCGTTCTTTCGATCTTGAAAGTTCATTGCTATTATTCCAAATCACTTACTTTGTCAAATGTAGGCGAACACTCCTGGAGTTGAGGAACCATATCCAAGTTCAGTAAGAGAAAGAAAATTTAGTGGAGGCTTGTTTACGTCCTCCACAAAACGTGTAATTAGGCATTTTCACGTCTTAGTCGTGCACTGACGTCAAAGCAATGTACAAAAAAGTGTGATGCACGTGCAAAATTGTTAGTTTGCTTATTTTCTTACTCGGGACGATTCGCAACGGCGATTTTTAGCACAACACAGCGTTGGAATATTGCGAAATTGATTCAAATGGTAGAAGCATTGTTTCAACATTCAAATGCTGTGTTGCGCAAAAAATCGTCGTTGCCAAGCGTCTCCTGTATAAACATCACCTTAAAACCAATTGCTCTTTTTTTACTTTTCTCGTTCCCGTCGATGTTTTCGTATCTAAAGGCCCCTAACAATCGCGTTAAAGGGAACAATGCTTCCGCACAATACTACTTGCTCAGAAAATGTCATTAGGATTAAACAAACTATTTATGTCGAATTATTGCAAACTGTTTGATTACTTGCTTTTGTGGTTTATTTTCCAGATTGGTTGCTTGGTTTCTAGTTTATTAATGTTAATCTTTAGAGCAAGTGAGTCTGCGCTGTGGATGGGTACTAGCACATTTGGTCTTTTCATGAGCAACGTGTTTCCCACAAGTGTGGCACTAGCTGAGCAGTATTTTAATGTTACAGGTACCTTGTGCTTTAGTAATAGTGGGTGTTGCATTTCCCCAGACAGTTTCCGTAGTGGAACGCTGACCCATTTTGGAGTCAATGCGGTAAAGACGGTTGAAGTCTGGCAGCATTGCACCACCGTACCTAGGGTTGGTTAGCCACCCGAAACACAGAAACATTCAGTATCTTTCTCTATAATGAGAATCACTTCTTGACATAATGATCATGAAGTTGGGGGAAAACTCATAGCACTGTAGTAATTTGTAAAATATTTAAAAAAAACCGGAGAAGGGTTATAGGAAGAAGGGACCTTTGCAAAAAGTTCAAATATAAACCTATTTGGAAAAAGTTAACATGGCAAATGGTTTGGTTACATGTATACTGGAACGCGAACCAAAGATCCCCAAAATGCAAAACCGATGCACTGGCTATAATCGACCACGAAAAGTGCCAGCGTGTCTGTTTTTTTGGTTTTGTCCTCTACCTGCTAATCCTCATTAATTGTACTGTATGTGGAGCCATAACCCCGAGTCACCATACGACAGCTTTCCCGACGTTGACGGTCGGCTATTCCCTGCAAACAGAAGGTTATCTTCAGTCGAACCTGCTTTAACGTACACCTCCCCTAAGCGGACAATTGTTCTGATTCCATGGGTATCCGCTTTCGAAGAGGTTCCACTGTATCAACACTCTGATGCTATACACATTGCGGACCTATTCTGGACCTCTTGCTGACCTAGAAGTTACCTAACGCTATATTCGCACTATATCAGCTGGCTTTTGCGCCGGCACGAAAACCATACCGAATAGGGCTTCTAACACACGAGAACGATGATTTTCGCGCGATTTCTGTAACGGAGTGAAACTGCGACGTGCCGGTCTCTAAGGTGGAGAGTCAAATATCGGATAGGTTTTTATACTATAAGGGATACCTTTCCGTGATGCCACGAAAAGCTACTCGGTATGTTGTGAACATAACCTAAGAGTTCACTGTACTTACGCACTTGTTAGCATAGAGCCTGTTAAGTTTTATCCTTGAAAACCCGCTGATTTAATGCTCATCTTTTTTCCCATTCCTTTTTTAGGTACAGTGACTTGTATGTTTGTTGTGAGCGCCGCTATTGGAGAGATGATTATACCACTCATCGTGGGTAAAGTGTTCGACTATGTGGGAGCGATCAGTTTTCTGGCTGAGGGCTGCATTCTATGTTTCGCCGCATTTGGCGCTTACCTAGCAGTATTAATTATTGGAAAAGGAACAGCGTCTCACGAGAGGAAAAGAGAAGGTAAAATATGTTCACAAATGTATATTGAATAACCTCTAAACATCGAGGGGTTCTATGGCCTCGTTTGGTCAGCCCCCGCGCGTTTTGGTAAACTCGTCCCCAGGGAACAGCCCTGGGAACGAGGTTGGCGTTCCAGATGGAATTGAAATTTGGAAGTATTGGTTTTTGGGGAGACGGTACACTCACGGTAGTCCGAGAAACAGCCGACATTACGCGACGTCACCATTGCTTTCTGCGCGAAATGACGTCTGAGAAACGAGCGCAGAAATTCCATACTGATGACGTGTCACTACCCAGATCTGGGTAGTGATAATAAAACTATTACGGAATCTGTTGGTCTTGAAAACGGACCTCAATTCCCGTGTGTTTCTTAGGCTCGACCTCCAGGTACTAAATACCTTAAATTAAACCCGCAAATTTCATGAGATCTTCAATATCCTTCCTAATAATCCACACTGGTGGAAAAAGGAAGAAAAAGAAGTGCTTCAAAGCTACGCTGAATTAACCAAAAACCCGCGAAATGCACGGAAAAACGTGCAAAGCGTGTTTATAGCTACGTGATCACGAAGGACGTTCAGTCCGTGCTAATCGCATGGGTAGTCAAAGAAAAACGTACAGTTCATGAAAAGAGCCAAAATACACGGTGACAAGCTCGAGAAAAGAAAACATATAAATGCAAAGTGAGAGGGAAAATCATGGTGTACAGGCGATGCTGCGGTGGCCCACGCTAAACTTAATAAAAACCATTATTTTACCAAAATTGTTACTTAAATACGCAAATAATGTTATTTGGCCGCGCGTGAAACAAGTATTATGGACTCAAAATTTGCTTTCTTTTAAGATATGGTAAAACGGACAACAAAAACGTACATTTTATTCCAGTCGCAACGTTGCTGCAAAACGTGTTGAATAGCAATGTTAATTTTTGAGAGTTTTAGCACCCACGAATAAAATCTCTCTTACAACAAATGAAGTTGTTACAGGTCGCGAAAAGTTGTTGTTGCAAGACATGATAACAAGTGAGTAGTAAAACTCGAAATATCGCCTTTCAATTGTTGCAAAAAAAATGCGCGTTTGCGTACCCGTTTTTACGGTAGCTTTACCCAAGAACCTAAAACATTTTTACCTCCCACATGCGGTATTTTGTTCAGAAACGAGCGGTTCCTAGTTTAGTACAAACCTAAAGATCCAAGGACGGTGACGGTTGTTTAAATGTCGCTTAAAAAGTGAGTTCGCGTTCTTTCGATCTTGAAAGTTCATTGCTATTATTCCAAATCACTTACTTTGTCAAATGTAGGCGAACACTCCTGGAGTTGAGGAACCATATCCAAGTTCAGTAAGAGAAAGAAAATTTAGTGGAGGCTTGTTTACGTCCTCCACAAAACGTGTAATTAGGCATTTTCACGTCTTAGTCGTGCACTGACGTCAAAGCAATGTACAAAAAAGTGTGATGCACGTGCAAAATTGTTAGTTTGCTTATTTTCTTACTCGGGACGATTCGCAACGGCGATTTTTAGCACAACACAGCGTTGGAATATTGCGAAATTGATTCAAATGGTAGAAGCATTGTTTCAACATTCAAATGCTGTGTTGCGCAAAAAATCGTCGTTGCCAAGCGTCTCCTGTATAAACATCACCTTAAAACCAATTGCTCTTTTTTTACTTTTCTCGTTCCCGTCGATGTTTTCGTATCTAAAGGCCCCTAACAATCGCGTTAAAGGGAACAATGCTTCCGCACAATACTACTTGCTCAGAAAATGTCATTAGGATTAAACAAACTATTTATGTCGAATTATTGCAAACTGTTTGATTACTTGCTTTTGTGGTTTATTTTCCAGATTGGTTGCTTGGTTTCTAGTTTATTAATGTTAATCTTTAGAGCAAGTGAGTCTGCGCTGTGGATGGGTACTAGCACATTTGGTCTTTTCATGAGCAACGTGTTTCCCACAAGTGTGGCACTAGCTGAGCAGTATTTTAATGTTACAGGTACCTTGTGCTTTAGTAATAGTGGGTGTTGCATTTCCCCAGACAGTTTCCGTAGTGGAACGCTGACCCATTTTGGAGTCAATGCGGTAAAGACGGTTGAAGTCTGGCAGCATTGCACCACCGTACCTAGGGTTGGTTAGCCACCCGAAACACAGAAACATTCAGTATCTTTCTCTATAATGAGAATCACTTCTTGACATAATGATCATGAAGTTGGGGGAAAACTCATAGCACTGTAGTAATTTGTAAAATATTTAAAAAAAACCGGAGAAGGGTTATAGGAAGAAGGGACCTTTGCAAAAAGTTCAAATATAAACCTATTTGGAAAAAGTTAACATGGCAAATGGTTTGGTTACATGTATACTGGAACGCGAACCAAAGATCCCCAAAATGCAAAACCGATGCACTGGCTATAATCGACCACGAAAAGTGCCAGCGTGTCTGTTTTTTTGGTTTTGTCCTCTACCTGCTAATCCTCATTAATTGTACTGTATGTGGAGCCATAACCCCGAGTCACCATACGACAGCTTTCCCGACGTTGACGGTCGGCTATTCCCTGCAAACAGAAGGTTATCTTCAGTCGAACCTGCTTTAACGTACACCTCCCCTAAGCGGACAATTGTTCTGATTCCATGGGTATCCGCTTTCGAAGAGGTTCCACTGTATCAACACTCTGATGCTATACACATTGCGGACCTATTCTGGACCTCTTGCTGACCTAGAAGTTACCTAACGCTATATTCGCACTATATCAGCTGGCTTTTGCGCCGGCACGAAAACCATACCGAATAGGGCTTCTAACACACGAGAACGATGATTTTCGCGCGATTTCTGTAACGGAGTGAAACTGCGACGTGCCGGTCTCTAAGGTGGAGAGTCAAATATCGGATAGGTTTTTATACTATAAGGGATACCTTTCCGTGATGCCACGAAAAGCTACTCGGTATGTTGTGAACATAACCTAAGAGTTCACTGTACTTACGCACTTGTTAGCATAGAGCCTGTTAAGTTTTATCCTTGAAAACCCGCTGATTTAATGCTCATCTTTTTTCCCATTCCTTTTTTAGGTACAGTGACTTGTATGTTTGTTGTGAGCGCCGCTATTGGAGAGATGATTATACCACTCATCGTGGGTAAAGTGTTCGACTATGTGGGAGCGATCAGTTTTCTGGCTGAGGGCTGCATTCTATGTTTCGCCGCATTTGGCGCTTACCTAGCAGTATTAATTATTGGAAAAGGAACAGCGTCTCACGAGAGGAAAAGAGAAGGTAAAATATGTTCACAAATGTATATTGAATAACCTCTAAACATCGAGGGGTTCTATGGCCTCGTTTGGTCAGCCCCCGCGCGTTTTGGTAAACTCGTCCCCAGGGAACAGCCCTGGGAACGAGGTTGGCGTTCCAGATGGAATTGAAATTTGGAAGTATTGGTTTTTGGGGAGACGGTACACTCACGGTAGTCCGAGAAACAGCCGACATTACGCGACGTCACCATTGCTTTCTGCGCGAAATGACGTCTGAGAAACGAGCGCAGAAATTCCATACTGATGACGTGTCACTACCCAGATCTGGGTAGTGCTTCTGATTGGTTGAAGCAAATTTCCCACGCAGCACCGCGACCAATCAGAAGCACCACTCAGATCTGGGTAGTGACGCGTCATCAGTATGGAATTTATGGGCTTGTTTCTCAGTCGTCTATTCGCGGGGAAATCAGTGGTTGTGCCGCGAAATGTCGGCTGTTTCTCAAGCTAAAAAGACGGCGGAAAAAAGTATCAGAGAAAAACTTCTCGGATCAAGGATAGGAGCCCATTAATGAGCTTTTGACAAACGGATGGGGACAAACAACAACCGATGGCGGCGGCGTATAGCTTGACGTCGCCTTCGTGATATACGAACCCTGGATAGATTATTGAGAGGGGATTGGTCTCACTAATGCGCGACACCAGTCTTCTTCACAGGACTGCACTTCGACAAATCGCGCGGGGCGAAGTGTATGAATGGAAATAAGCGAAGCAGAAGGCATCATGGGAAGGAGAAGAACGGTGGCGACGCACTGTCCCTCCACTTTCTTTACCCCACTGTACTTTGTATAAAAATAGCGCGTAGCTGGGGAGACGTCTAATAACCAAGCAGGCGCAACCCAACACTTACACCTTCCCCCTTGGGCAATCCTCACACTTTTGCAGATGAAAATTCAAGAAGAGCATAAATCCCGCCTTGCAGCAAGGACTGTTTATCATTCTACTCAAGTTTGCTGTCTAGTTGAAACGCTATTTCTGATACGTTTTTTTTTTTCGTCACAGTAATCGGAGAAGGCAACGCGGAAGTAAAAAATGACGATGATGCTGATGCAGAAAAAGATTCTGAGAAGCAGGAAAAATCAGAGGAAAAATCACCCAAGAGATGATCTTTCTCTTCGAGGGTAGTCAGAAATTAGAGATATTTTGTTATGACTAAGACCAGAGCCAACCAAGAAAGCAGACGTTTATTTTTTTGAAAAATTAGTCTCATTAACATGAGAAAAATAGGGCGACTGGAACCCAGTAAGATTTTATCACACGGTCAGGATTGAGAGAGATCTGAGAAAGAGCTAAGGTTGCCATTGTCACGCTAATGATAGGAGTCCTACTGGAATAGAATTGAGAAAAGAAGTTATGACGTAACAAAAACTAAATATGTGAAATTATGGGATTGGTTTGCATATCCGGAAAGAACAAGCCTGAAAAATGCTTACTTGCTAAAAATCTGCCAGTTGGTGCAAATTGGTAAGGAAGTATAAGCAACGTTATGTTGTGATGACTCCATTTAAATCCTTCTGGGTCGTTAACGTTGCGATCCCAGCCAATTTTAGAAGGATTTCTACAGAGTCATCAGAGCAAACCTCCGGTGCTTGTATCTACCCACCAATTTGCACTAACAGGTTGATTTTTTGCAAGGGTTTTTTTTCATCTTTTCTTTGTGAATATGCTAACCAATCCCATTATTTCACAAGTTTGAATTTTTGTGACCTCACACTTCTCTTTTCTATTGAATTTACTCTCTAAGCCCGTTAAGTGAGCTGGATGGCTTTGTAACTTTTCCGACTTATGGTTGCAATTTAGAGACGGAGAGAGAGAGAGAGCGACACGGACTTGTCAACCACTGATATGATGTACGCATAAGAAAAGACTTCTTTATATTTTTGGCTGTTGTTGACAGGTGTCATCTACCAGACAGTAACAGTTACAATTCCTTCTTGGTGGCTGAAGCTTTTACAGCTAAAAAACATTTGTATATAAAAAAACGAAAAACAAATGTATGTTATCAATTTTGTACAATATGTAAGTAGTTTTGTACTTGGTGAAATAAAATTAAAGAACCGCAGTCACTGAATTCTCGGCCATACTTTGGTTTGTAGTTCATTACTATCTATATTTCTTTTCTATCTAAACTTAACTCTTAGACGTTACTATGGCGAGAAATAGCCGTGCTCTTAACCTGCGATCAGGCGTTTTTAATAAAAGGGAAGAAGGACCGCCTGATCGCAGGTTACCTTGCCCTCTAGACTGTTCACAGTCCCCTATTTTTTCGTGAGATCGTTTAGATATAGC